GTATAAGAGACAGATACTGGACTGTGCGACAACTTTACCATTTCACCACAACATGCCTCATATTATTGTTGAAAAACCAAGGCTAAAAATAGGCTTATTAGGATCAGACGACTATAAAAGTGTATGGGTGGGGCTGACATTGAAAAAGATTGGAAGTACTGTACACAGTTTATGCCCTGCTGGTCTCACCAGATTGGAGCTGGCCACCAGCTTAAAAAGGTTGAATACCCGGGCCCCTAGAACATCCTAAAGAAATCAAACACACACATGCAAATCAGTACAATGCAACCTAGCGGTTTGGCTTCATTTTGTGAGACCTTTGGAACAATACCACACAGGTAGTGAACGGAAAAGTTCGTTACATATTGCAACTCAGAGCCACATAAAGAAACCTGTTGAAAGAAGGTAAATTAAAAATAAAGAAATACCGTAGAATCTGAACTCAACTGCTGCAAGGGACTGGAAGATGAGGGTTGAGCTTGCAGTTGGTTGCCAACAATTGAGTAATTAGAATTTTGATGAGATGGTAATTGAGGTCGAGGGTGAACGTCTGGAATCTGGCTTCCGCCATATATCTGTAATTTAAAGATCAGTCACATACTAACTGTAAGTTATACTTTGAATAAACACCCTCAGCATATATTATTGAGAAGGGTTTTTGAGGGAGGCATTTATTTGAGGGGGAATATATTTTTTTTTTTTGGTGTAAATTGGATACGTAGATACTCAAATAAACGCACCTTTATTTCACTGTAAATGTGGATATAAAACACATAATTACCTTCCAAATTTTTTATTGCATAATCATAAAGACTTATTAATCCAAACCAGGTTGAGAAAAATGTAATTCTACTGGAGTAGAATATTAATAATAATGTTGCTTCCATTAGATTTGTTGACACTCATTTAGCGGGGTGTTATTTGACAAAAAAATTAGATGCCTTGGGGTGGTTATTCTAGAAGGCGTTTATTCCAAATGAGGCTCTAGAAGGGGGTGTTTATTCGAAGGTGGTGTTAATTCAATGTGGAGCATTTATTCAAATAAATACGGTATAATTTTTTAAAGCCTGGTCCAAATTTAGAATTTCCCTGCAATGAAAATGTATTATAATTTAAAAAGTGGTTCTATGAAACATCATACATATGTTTTCGACAAAAAGTGCTAACCCTAATTTGTTCAAGATTTTGGGTTAATTTGGTTAAAAAGTTTTTTTTTCTTTTTTTTTTGGTCTTATCACAATCAGTATTATCGTTATATTAACCAGTAACATTATCATCATCCCTACAATTATCATCAACTACTACAAACATAAGCGTGTTCAATGACTTTTTCTATGTAAGCTGGATATCTCCAATGAATAGTATGGCAGAATTTAGAAAACCAGACACAAGTGTTGTATGTACCTGTGAGTCTTGCACAAGAGCATCCCCTTTTTATGTCTCAAGCATCATAACAATTTTATTAACCTTAGATAAAATGTTTTGGCCAATTATACCCTAAAAACTTATAAAAATTAAGTGAATTCGTCGTTAAAAGGTGAATACAGGCCATATAAATTTCTTTTAACGAAGATATACCGACTGACGATTATAATCAGTAGCAGTTCCACCACAACAATTTACAAAAGATAACATAGAGGGCGCTCTATTTAGTGATTCTACATAGAGGGCGCTATCTACCAATTGCATTTTTTTTTTTTTGGCAGGTATATGTAGATGACAAATAAAATGAATCTAAATACTTACAGATATTTCCCTCTGTAGTGAAAGAGGGCTAGCGGGAGAGGACTGCTGCATATGCTCTGGCATAACTGGAGATGAGAGGTTTTGAGGGGACTGTACAAAATTTCCGCTGATATTCGGATATACCTGGAATCAACAGAAGGAAATACAGAAGTGTATACAGAAAATTAATCACAATCACTGGAATGCCACATCACTAATTCACTCTGGGTGCCCAGGATGCGAGATCACATCCACACCTGTTCAACATACCACTATTGTATTGCATGCAAACTCCCTGGCAGTAGTCACCAGAACAAGAACTCTTTCCCTGGAGGTTCTAGGATGGGCCTGAAGTAATGATCTAAAAAGAGCTACCACGTTTGTTTGTGTTTCACTACAGCCGATGGAAATGATTTTTATTATGGTGGCGCCCTTTCTGCCTTGGCGCCCTTTCTGCCTCTTTATTTGATACATTTAATAATGAGTTGCCAATGATTAGCACCTGGTTTTACTGCTAATAAGCTTCTTGTAAATACTACAAAAACAAATTATGTTTTATTTCATAGCAATCAAAAAAAGATTGAGTTAGATATTAAAAGATAACCGTAATATTTATCTCAATGATAATTACTATTGAAAGGAAATATGAAACTTTTTTTCTAGGTGTCCTAATTCACGAAAACTTATTATGGACTAGTCATCATAAATATATTGCTAAATCGATAGGTGTTATTAATAAACTCAAATATTTTTTCTGCAACGTATCTTATTTAACTAAATATAACTCACTTGTACTCCGTTATTTACAGTATTGCAATATTGTATGGGCAGCCGACTATCCGACCAATCTTGACAAATTACTTAAGTTACAGAAATGTATTATTCATATTTTTTATTTATTTTTTGTAAATTTTTTAAATTTTTTATTTATTTAGGCACACAATACATGTGCCAAGGATTGTCAATAGCGAATATATCAAACATACACACACGATGCTTTACACAAACTAAATCTCAATATGAGATTTAGGGAGTGGAGTTGTTTTGGTCATGAGAAAAAATCCTGCAACACTGACAGGAACTGAACCCAGGACCCTGGGATTGGAAGGCAAGCATCTTAACCACCAAGCTATTCAACTCCACTCCTTATTCCCCCTTGATTCTCCATCCGAACCTTTATTTAAGAAATTAAATTTTCTTAATATTTATGATCTTCACAAAATCCAAATTTCCTCTTTCATGTTTAAATATGTCAATGGACTATTACCTTCAACAATTTCGAATTTATTACAAAATATCTCTAATTTACCTAGATATAATTTAAGAAAACCTCATAAAAATTGATGTACCGTTTTCTAGACTAACTAAAACAAGTCTTTTTATTACTATAACTGGCCCTAAATTATGGAATGAATTGGATGATCAACTAATAAATTGTAATAATTTACTAACTTTTAGAAGTCGTATGAAAAAAATGTATCTTTTTAATTATTCTGACCAGTAACCTTTTATAATTATGGTTTGTGCTATATACAGTAGGTCTTGATTCATGTGTATTATAGTGTACCGTATATCTATTTGATTAATTTATCCTTATTATTATTATTTTATTATTTATGGGTCAGGTTGAGACAAGCTGATGCTTCTAGACCTGACCCAAACCATAATTTCAATATTATTTTGTTCTTAACAAATGTGATTGACTTTAATTTTCATATTTCTCACTCAAATTTATTATGTTTTATGATTATGTTATGGTTAAATAAATGTTGAAGAAGAAGAAGAAGTGTACGGGATGGAACTAGGAAAAAAAAAACTTGACAGTTAATGTGCTAAACAGATACATCATAAATTTCATTTCATGTTTTTATATTAAGACGTTATGGTAGTTGACCTACCCTTGGTAATGATGTTTGTGGCGGTAAAGCTGTGTTTGTGCTGGGCAGCCTTGGAGGCTGGGCCGGTTCTGTCACTTGGGCTTGAGGATTAGGTACGCTCTGTCCACCAGCTTGTAAATAAGTCGATAGGAATGGTTGATGGTGGATCATTAGCTGCTGTGCCCGTACCAACTGCTGCTGAATGCGCTGCAACTCTTCTTGTTGACTGTGAATCTTCTCTTGGATTATGTGATGCCGTTGTAAGAGCTGTTCCTGTAGCTGTAGTTGAATCACTGCCATTTCCTCCTGGGTTATGCCCTCCTCTGGCTGGCCTGGGCTCATAGCATTAGCATTTACAGGCTGAATAAAAATTGACCAAAAATATTACTTTCAATTTAACCTTATTTTTCGCTTCGTCCACAATCAGCAATTCTAATTTTTTTTTTGTTAATATGAACATCGCACCATCTAAATAAGAGTCGCAGCAGAGGCAAATAGTTGATCCCTTGAGACCTACACAGTCTCCTACCGTGACCTTCACCATCTTTATCCAAACAATTAAATCTAATTGATATGCGCACTCTGAATAACCACTTACCTCTACAGTAATTTTGATTTAATTTCATGTTTTTTGATAGTGTCCCCTCTCCCAGACATAAAAGTAAAAATATATCTTATGACCTATTTGCTGTTGGTTGGATGTTGTTGAAATAAATAAATAAATCAGTAGTTAAGAGTTAAGTGTCAGTACTTACTGAATATTCTGAACTTGAGATTGAAACAGAGTCGTAACTCTTAACACTCTGGTTTTCAACTACAGAAAAACAAACAATCAAGCACTTAACAATATTTTTTTATTAATAATAACAATAATAATAATAATAATAATAATAATAATAATATGTTAAACTTACATACTGCCCTCCTCTGAGAAAAGGCATTAAGTACATTTTTTTTAAATTGAGATATGTAACTCCTGAATGTCTCTATGACCTTATTTCATCAGAAATTCCAAAAAAAATGTCTGGATATATGAAATTTTATTGGGCATTATTTGCAAATTTCACTACAAATACTCCTTGAATGCTTGACTTCACGCAGGACTGATAGTATCCAATAATCACTTAACAATATTTTTTATTAATAATAATAATAATAATAATAATAATAATGATAATAATAATAATAATAATAATAATAATAATAATAATAATAATAATATGTTAAACTTATACAGCGCTGCATGCTAAGCAATTCACATTAATACTTCGGTCACTGGATCAAATACATATGGAACAAATACTCAGTTACTCAAACAAATGCTCCCACGAATCACAGGCAATTTATCCAATTTAACATTTGAAGAAATCAAAAGTGTATTACATTATTCAATTCAATTTTATTCAAAAACACCCCCAAGAAAGAGAACAGAGAAAATACAGAAGAAAAACAAACTATTATGGAATAAAAAACCATCCATCAACAGATCAATCCAGAACAACAATTCATGAAATGGAATCCCACGCAGTACCAGTAAAATAACTCATATGACATCGATAATGAGATAGAAATCCTCTCAAGAGGTCACTATTATAATTTTCAGAATAATGTAAAATAATACTAATACTGTCTCAGATTCCATACCAAATTACTTTTTACATTTTTTTTTTTTTTTTTACAAAAAAGAGTGAGTATTGCTTATCAAGACAAACTTTTGCGAATGAAGACAAATTATCCTTACAAGTTGACATTACTCTGTCAATTACAGTCCTCTTTTAGGTGGTATCACTATTGGTTTCGCACTTAACTAAATGTAAGTAAAATCTTCTGGAAATGGAAGAATTATTAAACATTTGGAAAAAAGGTCTTAACGTCATCAATCTTGGAGATTTCAAGAGCAATTAATACGTTGGCGGTTCTGTAATAGTAAGGAAAACCGAGAGATGCTTTAACCCTTATCGTGCCGTAGGCGCAATAGTGCGACAGCAAAAAATTTACCGTTGAATGCCCTAGGCACACTAGTGCGACACATCCAAGTATACGTGAATTTCGCCCTCTATACTGTCTATATATCATTCTGATGCTCATTTGTTTTTGCATCCGGGTTACTTACACTTTGAACTTCTCGAATAAACAAAAATCTTGACAACTTTTATTGAAAAATATTTTATAAATCAAACAAAATGTCAACTTAAGTTTCAGTATGGCTGCGCAGCAGCGATATAATGTGGAACAAGCCATACACAAAGTTTTTGATGATAATAGTGTGGATAGAGACCAGGTACATTTTTGTGGAATTATAATTGTGTTTCTGTAGGCTAGTGAGAGTGATGAGAGTGATGGTTATGATGGGGAAGAAGCTAATATCGCCGGTGGTGCAGCGGGGACGAGGTAGGACTAGGGACTAGCCTAGGCCTAGACGAAGTTAGGCCCAGCCTATACAAAGAAATAGGCCAAATTGGATGGCGAAAACAGAACATTTCCATGATTGTAAAACAATTTTTTTTTACAAACCAGTTTCACATATAGAACATATGTGCTATGAGGATTATTTTTTTTATAAATAGTTTTTTGTTTAGGGTTCAAGAAATATGTAAAAATTTCATTTAAAGAGAGATACTAATTTCTGCTGTGTAATTATGTAGTTTTGTGAAAGTAAATTGGCATGCCAAAATGTCACGCACCAGCGATTTTCAGGGTTAATAAGTTTACTTTGACATTTTACATGCTCAGAACACAGCGACTTTGATAGGTCGATACATTGGCAGCCATAAGTTAAAATTGGAGAGAGGTTTCAAACATGTGACTGTAAGGAATAAACACCGTGTTGATATTTGTGAACTCTAATATGTACATCACTTTTAAGTTTACCACAGAGTTAAACACAAGGTATGTGATAGAATCGGAAACATTGAGCATTCCCCCATACTCCAACTGGGAGCAGGGGAAAATAATGCTTGCCAAAAGTAACACAATCGGATTTGGTTTGATTAAAATTTTATATTTGACAGTTCAAAAGTTTGATATTTTAACCTACTGTAGTGGTGTTTATATGTTATTGCTGCGAAGCAGCCAATTCATATTCTTGACAGCAATTTGACCTCTGAAAGGTCATTGTTTGTCAAAAATCAATCGCTTGAGACAACTGAAAAGCGGAGTTTCCTTCTTTCGTTCTGCCGGGTAAAATCAATTACTTTAGGCGACGTTTGTAGACTAACCTACTCGTACAAACGTCGGCATGTCGCGACGCTGGAGTACTATTCAGGGTTTTTACTATATTTCTAGGTTTCCTATTTCTACGTTTAATCGGCTCATGTCTCAGCCACAATATTTTGAGAACAATATTATTTACGAACCCAGATAAACTTATTTACTAGCCTATTTCAACGTTGTAGACTGGCATAGTGTTTGCGGAAATAAATACCATTTTATGCGCAGATCGATTCGCCAGCAGCGAGTCATCGCCAGCAGCAGCGAGCCATCGCCAGCAGAGAGATGTCACTGCAGCAAAACACTATTGTACCAACGCTGTTCTAATAATGGGTCGTCTTCGTGCTCATATTATTTGTTATATTTTTATTATTCATTATTTTCACTTGACTCGCATAAATAATTTTGTTCGAAGAACATTTTATGCAGTTGTACTTCGCAGCACTTCACTTGCAATTTGCAATTTCTAGTATATATACTATCTATATATAATCTGACAAAATTTTAACATCATCTAGAAACCTCTCCCCGATGTCAGCAAATGTTCGACTAAGTGAGTTAAATTAGTACTAAAAATTACCATCACGATTTCATTGGAATATAAGAATTTAGTTCCAATTTCCCATTTTCCGTCCCACGAACGCATGTGCTTGCGCTATTTTTTTGTGGGACCTTAGCAAACAATATATCCAAGGGGCAGGTCTTACTGAAAGATCCATTGGCCTGAGTGGGAATCAAATGTCCTTACATTTGAGAGACCCAATCGAAACCTTTCTGCCAAACACTCCCACAAATTACTTTATTTTCATAATTCCTAACAAGACTAGGGATCGAGAACATAAACACCCTTCTCAGGACAGGACGTTTCGGATGGTTTGGAGGAGGATTCTTGGAATGGGAAGTGTTAAAGTAATTGGTGGGGACCTGATGTTCAAGGATTAAAAGGGGAAGAAGCACTAAACTGGGATCCATGTAGAACTGCTATTCACGGCAATCCGGTCAACCCATGTAAACGTGGAAATGAGGCTGCTAAATGGAAATGATAAAACAATGATGATGATGAAATATTTACTTTAAATGCCTGATAAATATATAAATAAATGTTATTTAAATACCTCCACACTGAAATTGATTTTCATTCTCTTGAAACGATTTTGACACCGTATTATTTTGAACGTTATGCGGCGTGGTATATGTCATCTTTTTTGATGAGGATACTGGAATGGATGCATCTGTTGACATACACGTTCTAGATGAGGTTGATTCCCAGTCACAGTTACCTTCCGAGGTGGACCCATCCACGCTCATTAACTGGTCCTCTTCTACACAGATCTCACGATTAAATATCTCTCGTACCTCGGCATAACTTATTGAGAAAAAAATATTTTCCTTAAATATGTCATACAACAGTTTATTTAGCTTTTTGATTTAAATATACTTTTTTAAAGTGCATTATGGACAATGAGAAAATTTAGTATTTCTTTTATATTTAATCTAGGTAATGGCTCCCACAATAAATATGCAATAAATTACTACAAGTGTATCTTGTCAAATAGTAATTATGTGTTGATTATAGGCTTATTATATTGACCAATGACCAATAATAATAATAATAATAATAATAATAATAATAATAATAATAATAATAATAATAATAATAATAATATGTGGTTATAAAGTTAAACTTTTAGGGGAATATCTTTTGTGTTATTTTCCCATTAACGTTGTTTTTTTAATTGTTCTCTAATTTCTCCAATGTCTAAGTTCCCCTTAAGGTAGGTTTCAGTAACATAATAACAATAATAATAACAATAATAATAATAATAATAACAAAGAAAATAACAGTAATAATTATTACAATAACAATAAAAAAAATTAATAAAACTAAATACAGCCATGATCCTTACTTATTCTAAAGCTCTGTCTTGATTAAATTTTTTATGACAAAAAAAACACTGTTGTATGCCCATATATAGTCATGATTTGCACATATGGTCATGATGTCAGATTTCATCATGACCATATTAGGAAATTCACATGATTTTTTCAGATTTACTGGGAAAAAAAATGTAATACTTAGCACACATACATTTTTTTTTCATAAGAACACAATAAATATATGACGTGTATAATCTTTATGAAAATGGAAAAAATTATGATGTGAGAATGTCATCAATCAATCATTAATAAATTATGTACTCATTTGAGTGGGAGGGTGATCACAAAAAAGCGTATGTTTTGTACTCTCCGGAAAATAATGAATGACCAATAATAACAAAAATAGTAAGCAAATAAGCACCGTAGTTCCACCCCACCACCCATCTTCCCAGGGTGGGCTTATATCCAAGGAAATATCCAAGGAATTCCTTTTTTTAATCAAATGGCAATTCTTCAGCATTGTATGCCTAATTAAAAGCTAATATTTGATGTTTTTTTTTTTAGAGAATAGTTGAAAAGCCGTAAACTCACTGCGTTGTACGATGAATCCACATTTGCTTCCGGCTGGCAATAGACTAAGCAACGCCGTCTGATGATTGTCAGTTGCAATCTGAACGGATCCTCATTAAAAAGTTGGGTCCATGTCTTCGCGTGTGGTCTTCATTGCCGTCGCACGCAGTGAGTAACCGGCTTAAGTCATGCACTGGGCTTTTGCCCGAGAAAACGCTGTTACATAAAATATGGACATGAGGATCTACGGTATATGACAATACTGTAAATTACTTACTTGACAACTACGTGAGCACAAACAATAAATTCTGGCTTTGAGTTCCACTGATTGTAGGTAATATAAAAACGGGTTTTAAGCCATATCCACTCTTGGCCCTTTGTTAGGAATCGATAGTAGGACGACGTTCCCTCACTCGTTTGCATCACTATGAAATACGGTAGAACCAAATGATAAGAAATGGTGGTGTACGCCCTAATCACAAACATTCTCAACAAAGGGGTTTCAGGTTGAATGAAGTCTCATTGTGAGGTTCAAATGAACTTTCTTTAGGCAAGACTTTTTTTTATAACATGTTTAGTGAACCCGCCGCTCGCCAATAATAATGATTTCGAATAAAAATACAATATTATTTTTGGCCAACTAGCACACCCGCCACTACTAAAAAAAAATGTTTATTACGCCCGCCGCTGTCTTTAAATTTTATTTCCTCTCTGCAAGCTGACACCCAACGGCACTCCATGAGAAAACTGATAATGAAGTAGTAAAACAAATTACGAATTTGCAGGAGATGGGTTAAAATTTTCCTGGAGACTTTTACTTGCTTGCGGGAGTGCGGAGGGGCGTCTTGATCCCGTATTGAGGAATGAAAATCAAAATCGTGTTCACTACACTTCAATGCTTGAGCTTAACATACGGGAAAATTAATAGAGTTCATTTAAAATTGAGGGCGTCCTCTTCTTGACTACCGATACACAACTCTCCATTTTTGGAACATCGGATACATTGGAGTTAGTGCTCTGGTATTCTTAATAGGGAGCATTCGATTTGTGCAACGACGTGACACTAGAACGGAATCACCCATGCGTGACTGTCCTACATGGCGTCCTACGTTCTCTGCATACGTAGATTTGGCCAAATTGCGTTCCAGAATCTACTCGATAAGGTAACCTGAACGTTCTCGCATGCGCAGATGACTTTTAGTGACGTCATTACGTTCTACGCAATCGAAAGCTCCCGAATATAACTCTACGTACCTTTCGAGCACCATCAGGGCACTTTGTTTACAACAACCATTCATAGAGCATACGTGCTAGAATTACATTAGATCTGCCAAGTGTCACGCATTCAGCGTGAATGTCACATTTTTTTAACATAAACATTGCAGGTCTGTAACTTTAAGTTTAATATGTTTCACTTGCAAAAAAAATGTAAGTAAATATTTGCCGAGCTTATCCCCAGTTTTAAGTAGCGTGAAGCAAAAGAGACTGTAATGCGCCACCTGGGTGGATCGCTAGTTACTAGGTTATTCCCACCCATTTATACAGCTAGGTAGTTTGAAGCAATAGATAAAGTGCCTTGCTTAAGTACACCAGCAAAATGCACAGAAAGGTATTGAAACCCCAACCTTGAGGATGGGAATCCAAACCGTTGGCACTGCGCCAAAAAAAATACCAAAAGGTTAACTGGTCAACTACTTACATGCTTCGTGCCACTTGGTAATCTTACTCAAATCATCCTGATGATAATAGTCATACACTGAGGTACCCAATACTTCAAAAGGCAAATACCCAATGACTGGGGGCGCTCTGCAAACAATATCAAACCAAGTTGCATTAACAAAACAGAAACAGTCACCAACACAAATGACAACAAACATATTTAAAAAACAAAAACAACAATAATAATAATAATAACTCGAATACTATGTCTGTTGGTTAAACAGAAAATATGGCTTTTTTTCACTGAATAATGTTGAAATTGTATAGTTAAAATATAATTAAATGTATATTAAAAACAGGGATTTCAAAAGTTTTGGAAGTAGGAGGTTGAATCTGAAAAGTAGCAGACGCACAATTTATCATCAAAGAGTTCAGAGTGGGGGGGGGGTGGCGTGGTCCGGAAAATTTTTTTCTAGATGCCTGGAAATGGCCTCTCCTGCATTCTTTGAGCTCTGTTTGACATGTTTTATGGACATATTTTATTAAACAAAATAATGTTTTTTGTAAGATTTTTTGTTTTTATTCAGCTGGTCATAATGTTGAGTTGTACCATACTGTACTAATATAACAGACATATAATACAAAAGTAATAATTTGTAATAAGTGAATTTATTATTTTTAAAAAATCCAAAATGGCTGATATGACATTTTTGAAGTACAGTAAAACATTTGGTTTCTGCAAGGTAGGTATTGTAGTAACAGGCCTGGAGAACCATCTGTTTAACATACTGTGGAAAATAATAAATAGAAGTATATAAAGGTACTTGTTGCATATCATTTGTGTGGTTGCTCCTGGATATAATCAGCTACAACCTTATCATGAGTTGGAATCTGAAAAATAACAATATAAAACAAATAAATAAAAGCATCACTAAATACATTTTTGAACAAATCTGGCTAGGTCTGTATTAAATCCAGTGAAAAACTTATTATATAATGTATTTAATTATTATATTTTTATAATTATTATTATTAGTACATTATAATAACCAAATCATTGCAACATGTATAAGCTTATATAAGCCAATAGGTCTTCAACATGTGGCTGGACATCATCTTCAGCTACATGATCATCATAATTGCTAAAATCATCATCTTGAAAAAAATTAATGATTTTTTTTTTAAAGCTTTAAAAAATGCCATTACCAGTAGTAATTACAGTACTACTAATCCTGGTAGAGAAGACTAGATAGCCAAGAGTTAAATTACAATTGTCAGGTCGGCCCATGTCAGTGACATGTTGTTAATTTGTTTTGCTTAAATCTATCGTAAGTTTTTATTAGGTTCAATTTACTATGTATGGTGAAATAATCCTTGTAAAGTAAACAATGTGCAGGCTATCCACGATAATTAATTGCTGGAACCGGACGGATCGCATGCACTGACGACAGTGTAGTACTATTAATTAATATTACTACCCTATATTCTAACTCAACCTATTTCTATATTCGATATTTTAATACTCTACTCTGCCAGCCTCTTCTTCTAGGCACTAGATATCCTAGCTAGACTAGTTAATTAATGAATCAGCAAAACCCTGCGGGCCTTTCCAGAGGCCCAGCAATCGTCATTCATGGTCAGACTCATGAATCATTTTGGTTGTTTTGTTAATTCACTACCATCACATGTTCATTAAAATACTTACCTTTTTGGCCTTTTTTGAAAACCAGACCTCTGCGAGGGCCAAGGTTCCTATGCGGGCATTCGTAAAATATTGCACTGCTGTATTATCGATGATGTAGACATGGCAACTAACGAGGGAGTGCTCGTGTTAATTTGAGATGACAAACACATTTAAGGGCAGATAGTTTCAGTTTTATCATATGTAATCATGGCAATCATCAGGTGCTAAAAGTACCTCATGAAACAGCCTGTAGTGCAATAAAATGTTGAATTTGTAACCAAGCATCATCTTGTTTTGATTTTATATTGTTCTGCTTATGCATCGAGCACTGTTGTTTTTATATTTATATATATATATATATATATATATATACATATATGCATATATATATATATATATATATATATATATATATATATATATATATATATATATAT